ACCGGACCGGGCAGGGCGCCCGGCCAGCCCCCAGCGCCTCTCCCGGGCCTTCCCCCACCCAGCTTGCCCCCGACCTGCCCCTTCCTACCCTCCGCGGCGCGGAGGGAAGCCCAGAGCCACGCTGGGCCGGGCCAGGGCAGCGGGTTCCGCCCCTTCCCCTGTGGCAGCCCACAGCCCTCGCTCTCCTCCTGCGCTGCTCCGCTTCCCACCTGCCTTCTCCGGAGCGCAGAACTGCCTTATGGCTCCCTTCTCTGTGCGAGGACGGGCACCGAGGCACGTTTGTCCCTCGGAGGGATGCTGCCCAACACCCTTGCCAGCAAACCGAATTGCTTATCTGACCAGCTGGTATCAGTTACAGCTCACCATAGCAGCGACTCGCATAACTCCAGTTTCCTCCTTCACTCAGCTGCTAAGCTGATTTAAGAGGCAGCAACAGGTGTTTCTGATAACGACTCTTCGATATAAGCAATTGTAAAGGTGGTAAGCTTGTGTGTCTTTTTATTGCTTGTGGTTTCTCCTGTGAAAGATGGGAGCACCTTCTTTGCACTGGTAGTTCCCAGGACTTATTTGATTAATTATTTTCTTGTATAGAACTACATCAAATGTTCCCCTCTGTTCCCTCACCAACAGAAAAAAACAACCAAATCACTTTGAGTGTAAAAAAAGTTTGTTTGCAGAATGTGAGATAAAGGAGAATACACCCACCAAGTTTCTGAACAGGATGCTTTTATGTGCTGTCAGATGGTAATGTCTTCTCACACTGCCCTGGGATTTTTTTTTTTTTTTTTTGCCAGGGGAGTGTTCGTACTATTACAAATAAGGCAGCCTTCAAACAGGTATTGCACCACTGAAACAGTTCTGGTAATGTGCTAATTCACGTTTTTCTGGGAGGTGCTTTAAACTGACTAGCATTAACTCATGGTTTTACTGGCAGGATGCAAAACTTAACATGCAAGGATAGACCAATTCCAGTTGAAAGATACCATCCTAAACGCAATCTTAAAACAAAAATAGTTATGCTGCTCATTGCTCAGTCTTAACTCTGCATTTTCAATGTATTCATTACTGAATGATGTTTAAAATGGAAACGAAAAAAGCCTTCTTTAAAAATATATATGAGAAAGAAAAGATGCAAAGATACTAAGAAGTATATATATATACTCAAGTTTCCTCTCTCATTTAAGATCAGGAAATAGACACATCTGAGCTACATTTTGACATTTTAACCGCATTAAAATCAGATAGTTTATATAAAGCACACTAAGTATAACCATGCTGAAACATTACAAACTAAACATATAGCAATTAATGTTTATACTAAAGATATATTATATAAAACAAATTACAGATGAGACTCGGGGTTTGTAACTACAAGCAAGACCAAAAACCCAGGACATCAAGCATGTGCTTGCTAGAGGGAATTTGGGGAGGAAGAGAAGAGATCAAGATTCACAATAAATCTTCACAGATTCATAGGAAATTTTAATGGCTGGTTTTCTTGAGTATTGTCAGAAATGTCACTTGTGTGTCAGCCTTCTATTTACATCTCCAGAGGGAATGGCTCAAATATTTGCAGATGATATTTTGGTGTTGTCTGGAAGGTACCAATATATCTGAGGATGAGGGAGGGCTTGCTGAGTAGGCTTAAAAGGTAAGTGTAAGCCTGGAAGGATGTTTGCTTCCTGTCCTGCACTGGACTGCAAGTGGCAGCTGCTCAGGACAATGTGCTACTTTTCCACATCACAGATGGACACTGCCTGGGCCATTGCTTCTGCCACAAGCCACAGAGCTACATTCAGAGGCTTCAGAAGGGCTGTATTCCATGCATCTGAGCTGAGCATCTTGTAGGAGGTTGTGTGATCTCCATTCTGTGCAGGATTGCACCACCGGTAAAATGGGTTATTAAAAGAGCAGAAGAGTGCCTTTTGTGCACTCCTCTGGCTCCTTGTAAGCCCTTGTGATTGCACAGTTCTTCCACGTTATTTTTCTTAGCTGGTCTGTTGATACGTGTTTACTACTACCTTTTTCTTAAAGGAAGAGTACTAGAAAGCACTTGATCCATCCATGCTCAAGAACTGGGCCAGTGCTCCAAGTATGTATCTCAAAGTAACTTTGATTACAGATGTGCATGACCTTTAGGATCTTTTCAGGAACTTGAAAAATTGACAAAGTGAGCAAGAAATTTCTATCATGTGTGTAACACAGGAGAGGTCATCAGTATCTTTCTCTTTTCTGTTTCAACATGACCGTATGCTTGATTCAAGGTACCATTTTCAGTCTTCCAGCTGGCAGCTTGAGAACTGCTGCAGCTACTTTCAGCCTTACTAAAAGCAGTAGTAGCAAAGAATTCAGAAGACAGTCTCACCACGCTGCTACTTTGCAAAATCAGTATCAGGTACAGGAGCAATTTTCTGGACTGCAGTAAAAGCAATCCAAATGCCCTGCTGTCAGATGTCAAGTAAGAATGATTTTAACACTTTGTCAGTAAGTGGTGCATGCATGCTTTCTATCCCTGATAAACCTCATTATCATTTTTTATGGCATGCAGCATGGTGTACAACACTCTATAGGATCACCTTTAGACAGGTGCATGTTTTGTGGCTGCCTGTGGCTAGATAAAGTAAGGAAGGCATGGAAAAAGGCAGGGTGAAGGGAACAGGTTAGATATAAAAGTCAGTAGAACTTTAATTTTGTCTTTCACACAAACAGGCCTAAAATGTCTTGTAGTGTTGATGCAAGGCAGGTACAGAGTACAGTGATGGTGATGATGTTAGCAATTGCATATGCAAACATTATGTCTGAAGTATAGAGAATACTGAGAAACTTTCCTGTGAGATTTGCAAAGATACAAAAAGCCAGACAGGAGAGAGTTGGCTGCCCTTGGTGACAGAGGCTACAAAGAAAGTTGTTGCACAGATTTATGGGAATAGCTGAGGGCATACAGAAAGATCAGTGCAAAAACTGAGGAGATAAAATCTGTGAGGTAGGTAGTGGTAAGACATGAGGGAAATCTTAGACGGGATAAGTGTTTGAAAACTCAGTTTTGAAATGAGTTGAAAAAACCATAGCTGGCATTCTTACATACCAGCATTTCAGATTTTGAGCAGCCACACTGCACTATGCAGGAGTCAGCAACTAGCAAAGAAGACAAGCACCAAGTCAGATGTAAGAACAAGCATCTGTTGTGACCCTCCTCAGAAGTAAAAATCTAGCACAGAAGGTATGTGGGAAGAGATTTGTGACCTACACACATCTCTACATGTTTTATGGACGCTTCCCCAAAATGAAATATCAAAGCAGCTGCTGAAAGGCTGACATTTGATGTTACTCTAGCCTGTCAGCCATAGGCTAGCTTGGAGCTAGTCTACATGCCCAGTCATATTTCACTCACACTTTACATTAGTTCCACTTATAAAGGAGTTTTATAGGATTAATTGATGGTTAGTATGAGTTATAAACACACTGAATAAATAGCAGTGTGTACATAATTACAAGCATACCCATGGAACATGTTAATGAAGTTTATAAACAATCTAGTATGGTACTCAATGAATGGATAATTGTTTTATCAAGTTTCTGTAGTATACTTTAACACAGAGTATGACTACAGTTTTACATCTCAGTGATTAGCCTGTCATAAGGTGCTTAAATGCCCTTCTTTGGCTTTTCTGCTTCTTTGGAGATGGCTGCTGCTACTTTTGACTTAAAATACCTGTGATAAAATCAAACTCCCTGTTTCTCACAGGTGACACAATGCGCATGACTGAGGATCAGATTTAACACAAGAGCCTATCATCAGCCTTGTTTAGAGGTAAACGGACAGCATCATCTCTGTACGGTGCATGATAGTTCTTCATTGAACTGGCCCAAAGAAAATGCTAGACTCGAATAATATTTGTGATCTGGCTGGAAATAAGGAAGTCTGCTTGCATTTAAATTTAAAGTGCTGTTTTCAAGTGGCTGTGAAATTAACTGTGATAAAGAGAAGGACCTGCTCTGAGCTGTCAGTTCACTCTGAAATGAATTGTAACAGTCCAGGCAGCACTGGATAGACACATAATTTCTGTACAATTTAAAAGAAAAGCATTTTAGACCAGGAACTAAAGAAATGTTATCATTTTATACAAAAGCTGCTAATTTCAGACAACATCAACTGAATCTTAATTGGATGGATGTCATTAAGTAGGTGGTCATTACTGTCGATATTCCTCTGTGGTTTTGTTTGTTTTCTAATTTGAAATGCAGAAAGATTTTTGTACCTGACTTTTTCCACTTGAGACTCTTGGTGACGTGACTTGTCATTGGAGCTGGGAGGCAGTCACTCTGGATTTTTTGAAAATGAGTGACCATAAGAACTATATTCCACTGGAGAAAGAGAAAGGATAATAATTGATTACTTCAGGGGAAGTTGCCTTTGTTGAGTGAGAGGTGTAAAATGAATCTTGGGACACTTGTTTTACCACGCGTGCTACTTCTTTGGAGGTTTTAATTGGCTGATGCCTACACAGTGTGTGGAAATTTCAATGCATCTGAAACATTTCCTCCTTAGGAAACAGTCCACAACCTGTGATTTAGTCCTTTATCCACAGGGCTTGCTTACTGTGAGATATAGATGAAAGATGAGCTTTCAAGACTGCTTTCTGTGTACTTGCTCAGCTAGGGATGTGGATTCTAGGCTGCTCAGGTTCATCTTCCAATTTGGTGGCGGGTCCTTCTGCCAAGCTTGAGTCAGCCTTGTGCCACTTTAGCTGAAGGAATTTTTCCATCAAATCAGCTCCCACATTGAAGACCAGAGCTAGCCAGGCCAAGCCAAAAACAATCCATATCACAGTTAGGCTCCTGTACACTGGGATATAGTGCTTGTTGGGGTTTGTGCCTGAAAAATCCAGGAAACTTTGCATATTAATCTTGATAGCTTTGGTCTGCCAGACAACATACATGCTCATATACCCTCTCCACCCTCTTCAAAAGTGTATGTTTAACAAGTCTGTGTGATCTATGAGCTTTTTGTGTGATCTGTGAGCTTTTTGCTTTTTGTGCTCCAACTCTCAGGTTAAGCTTACCACAGTTGGCATCAAATCTCTGGAGCTGAGGATATATAATAAAAATAGCCATATCTATTGTTAATCAGGGATGCACAAAATCGAGTGTTCCTAGCCACTGACAAAGAAAAACATCATCTTGGAAACCCAATGTTGAATCCATACTCAAGAGACACACAGGGGATCTCAGATGATTTAGAAAGATATGGTTTACTACCTCAGAGATATAGTTATTGCTTTTTGTCGGGTGATATACCTCAGTAACCAGGATTCAGAATTACCTGGAGAATATTATATGGGAAATGCAGCCGTTTTAAGTAGGTGGTTATGGGAATCTTAATTCCCAGTTTGGTATTTCCACAGCATGGACAATCTGTGCAGCTGATACAGGGACAGGGCAGCACCGCAGCCACCCATTTAGTCTCTCTCATCCAGATCATCATGAAACCCCACAGTGTCCAGATTCAGCACAAGATGGGGTTTTATTTTCTTTTGGGACATAGTTATGACCTCTAGGAGAGGAGAGCTACTACTTGTGAAGTAACAGACCCTAGTGTTTTTAACAAATAAAGACACTATACATAACCTGTTAAGACCATTTGTTCAAATAAGTGGGTGGAAAAATAACCCCTCATGTCTCTCTACTGCTGTGTCTCAGCCTAGATCTCTAAAGACTATGTAATCTCACTGGTTTTGTTTTCTTTCACAGGTGTCCTGGGGTTGTCAGTAATATTATCCCCATTGTAAGTACTGAGCATTTCATATTTGACATGATTTCTTATTGGGAATGGTAGACACTTGCTGAAACAAATCACTGTTAGGAGAGGATGTTTCAAAGGCTTAATACTGACAAAGAGATTTCATTTGTATTCCACCTGTCACTCATGGATCATATTCGTACCAGCTTGGACATAGTCACTGTTGAATGGGTGTTCAGTGGCATATGTGAAACGAGTTTGGTGACTCTCAGCTTAGCTGCCAAGAGAAAAATGCCCACGTCATATAATACATGAGCTCATCATTACCAGACTGGGCCAGCTCACTCTTGTACCAGGTTTATGGTAGAATGGATATCTGTGCTCTATATATTTAGCTTTATACTAGAGTAACTAATAACAAAGCTCAATCCAGTTCACCTTCTTTATTACCTACTACATAGTCCCCAAATCCAATGGTGCTCAGGGTGATGAAGGTGAAGTAAAAGCCTTCTCTGTAGCTCCAGCCTTCTACATAACTGAAGACCAATGGTGGGAACACTAGAAAAATCAAGGTCCCAGTGGTCAGGAAGATTGCCACTGTCAGTGTTTGAACCACCTGAAAGATAAAAGGAAGATGACAGCTAAACAGCACTGAGCAGTTGTCTAGTGGAAATTGCTGGGTCTGTTTTGCTCTTGAATCACAAACCCACTCCAGCTGGGAGCAATGTGCAAAAAAGAAAGGATAAACCAATGCTTCCATGCCCTGCAGGCTGACCTTGCTGTTTACCCTGCACAGAGATACTGTATCTAATCATGAATCCAAAAAATCTCAAAATTGGGAAAAAAATGAGGATTTTTTTTTAAAGCTTTTTGCAATGAGTTTGTAAGTATGCTCAAGTCATAATTTCAAACTTATTATGGCAACCATAAGAATGAAATACTCACTTTACAGTTTCAAGTCAAGTGGAGATGCTCTCATAATCAATCGGCTCCTGTCTTTGAGGAAAATCACCAAGTATTGCATAACTCATGATACAAAGATTGGCAAGAACAAATTAGGGTTCTCTTCACCATGACTTCTTCCAAAGATTTACAAAGTGGCTTGCAAGACCTCAGCCAAAAATATGTTTGGTTGAAATCTAAGTAAAGTCAGTTTGCCTGTTTTAACTTAGAAACATTCAGAGCAGAACTGTTTTCTGTCAGCACAGGGCAGATCTGTGTCTCTGAGTACAAATGTCTGCCTTCTGGGAGATAAGTTACAGCATATGTGTGCAATATATAGGTACACAGAATGGCCAGTGGATGGGTCATGACAAGGGATTTTAGGAGTTTAGGATTGAGGATCAGGAACTCACAATTTCCAGGGAACACACTCTGGTGAACTTTTGACTAGTGATGTGTGGGCTGATGCAAACTCATTGCAATTGTTTAAAAAAGCCCTCAAGGGCATTCAAACCAGAGTATGATTTTCTATGCGTGCACCTATAGTGACTGAATGAACAGCCAAACCACTTATAAAGTAGAAGGTCCAGGTATCGTGTTTTTCTTTCTCTCTCTCTGTTATCTCACATATAAAATAGTCCGGCTGAACTTGAGAAACTTGATGTAAGCCTACTGGGTGACTTTGACAAATCAATTCTATATTATGTACCATGTGTCTCTAGCTGTATAATAATTCTTACCTCATTTGCAAAGCACTTCAAGAATTACTGATCGACAAGGTTATAGTTGATATCTGTTCTCATTTAGTTCATTCCAGAAGTGTGATAGCATTTAATTAGATAATAAAGTTTGCATAAAATTTTATACTGAAATGCACAACATTACTTTTTACCCTGGCTTTTAAGATCTTTCAGGTACAAACCTATAATATAGGGGAGAGTAAGTCAGGAATGAAGAAAAACTGATTTCCCAAAGCATGACTAAATTGTGTTTAAAAGGAGGTGAACCACCTTCTTGGAAGAGGTTTTTCAGAGTGAACAAGCAGATACAGCTCCAAAGCTTTGTCTGATGATAGGAGTTCTGCCAGAAATGAGGTCTTAGTTTAGGGGGGGAAAAAAAAGATCACATCCCTGAGGTGCGATTAGAAATCTCAGGAAAGATGCAGCTATACTAGCATGAAAATCCTTCTGGTGGTAGAGCTGCATGCATTTGGGGAACAGACATAGGTTATGCAGCTAAAGAACTTCTTGCTCATATAAACCAAGTCTGCATTTGACAGTAATTTTATAGCTTTCCCAGTGTAGGTAAAGAATGCAGTGACTTAGAGATTTTACAAACGAAAAAGAGAAAAAACTTGTGCCAGAACTCTGAAATGTTCCAACATATCTAACATACCTAATCTCCCTTTGCCCTAACTAAAGGTCAATTAATTGAACCTTTACTCAGAAACATGCACTAACTTCGTTGTAAATGACCTTCATGTATTTTCTATTATCAGTGCTTCCCTTATTCTAATACATCTGGACTAGTTCAATGACTCACCAATAAACTATAAATAAGGAGAAGGAGTATTTACGTTTCAAGAAAAGAAAAGGAAGTGCTAAATTGCTGGCACAATGAGGGAAGGTAATTCAAGCCAGATTAGCAGGCCAATAAAAACAAGTTGTCTTTGCACAGTGTAGAGCTAGATTCTGGATAGATTGCTAGCATAGGCTAGATAAGAAGAGCTTGATTCAGCAATGTATGTATGTACTAAGGTCACCAGAACTTAAGGACCCTGCTCAAAATTGAGGCCATGCTTGCTTAATAGTTTTGCTGAGTCAGGTTTTAAAAAGGCAAATCTAGAGTCCCTCAAGCAAAAGCAAATTGCTTTAAAGCTATTGTAGATAAATGGAGTATATCAATTTTCTGATATAGAGGGCCATGTAATTCCTGTGGTTCAGAAAAATGTAGGTATACACAAGAAACCCAATCTAGCAGCTGCAGTACCTATCTGAGAAGAGAACTTTAATTAGTTTTAAAATAGTGGAAATAAATGATAGATTGACACTGTATCTCAGTACGGCCTGGCTTTTGCACCCATCTTTCCAGGGTAATCAAATGAGCATTGAGGCCTTTCCCCAACTGATTAAGGAAGGCGAGGTTGAGGGGCACTCCAAATAAGGCATAAAACACACAGAAGATCTGCCCTGCCACAGTACTGGGGGCCAGGTTACAACAACCTGGAAAAAAAGAAGAAAACAGCTACATGAAAAGGCTTAACATTCAGGCTGCAGGCCACCATGGGAAGTTTCTAGGCTTGGAAGCTCAACTACGTTAAGCTTCAGGAAGCTGTGGACCTATGATTTTCTGCAATTAAATCTGCCTACAAATTGCCATAGCGTATGATGGAGCCCTGTGCATTCACTACTACTAACAGAAAATTTAACAAGAAAAATATTATTTTTAAAGAGTATTGTAATTTTCTATAGGTCTCTAATTTTGTGGTGAGTGCAAATGAGTGCTTCAAAGCAACCTCAAGATGTGCTGTGCATGTACAAAATGATATTGCATGTACCAAGTAGGCACTCAGCTTTTTTTGCAGGTGTAGTATGCTGGATACACAAGAATAACAGGTGTAATTGCAAAACAATAGAAAACCATAACCCACAGTAGTCAAGACTGTCTTGCAGAGGTATTCTGTCCACCAGTTGCACATTTCTGGGGGCTTTACAGGACAGCTGGAGGAAACCCCAATTTATAAGGAAAGAGAGTACCTCACCTATAGTGGTGACAACAGTTCCTGCAAAAAAGGAGTTGCTGAAGTCCCAGTTACTGGGATTTGTAGAGTTTCCTTCTGGGTTGATCCCTTTTTCCCATGCTTCCATGAGGACCTGAGGCAGAAGAGGTCAAAGGAGCAAAGATGAGCAACCCATTAGACCAAATCAGGAAGAATGTCAGAAAAAAAGACAGAAGTAATATTGCTTTCAATCTTGAGCAAGCAGAGCAATGAACAGTGTAGATAACAGGGTAGAGTTTGACTAAAATGGCCATGTGCTGACATGGCAAAACTTGGAAATAGAGCTGGCCAGGAACTTGAACTCTTGTCACTGGAGCACTGGCCATTGAAGTAGGATAGATTCCATAACTAGTTGAAGGCTAAGGGGAAGGGAGTGGAGGGAGTCCCCAGAGTGACCAAACTGGGAAAGTGAAGTTATGCCATAAAAAATAAAGGCAGTTCCTCTTCTCTCCTTCCCTAGCCTAGTCATCTTATTCCAGTTTTTAATTTGGGCATGTGTAAATGTATGGCTGTGTCTGTGGGGAGGGGCATGGGGAACATGCTCATTTCTGTTTCCTCTATGTAAGTACTAGTGAGGATGAATTACTATTTTTGGCTATGAGTTCCCAACAATTTTCAATGAATGTTAGGATTCACCTAGTCTGAAAGATTAGCTAATGAAATATTCTTTGCTATTCCAGATAGCTCTTACCAGATGACCAAAACTACTATGTACAAAAGAAATGCTGCTCCTATTTATGCATCAACTATCTTGTTAGCTGCCTTAGTGAAGACTGTGTTCCTTTGCTCTTCCCGTGGTTTTCTCTGAAGGAGGCTGGCTGGTTACCTTCTGCTCAGTGGCTGGGGTTTCAAGAATCCCCTTGTTTGTTACATACCAATTTTGAGGTTCAGGCCACAGCCTTCATTATTTTTCCAAATGCCTGAAGGAATTACTTGGTCATGTCTTGCAAAGACTTTTGTGTCATGCAAGACATGAGCAGGATTCAACAGCTTTAGTTGGTTCCAGGAGTATGAGACCAAAGAATATATTCTTTCTTGATTCAAATGTTGACCACTGCCAGAAGGATTGCTTATGTGATGAACATACCTGCTACAAGGTATCTGATTTTGCATAGGTTCTGCAATATTAGCTGATCTGTGCTGGTGGATTGAGTATCCTAAGTCTAATAGATAATGTTATTCCTTCAGTAAAAAATCCTACAGTTTGATCGAGATCATCAAATAGGGCTGCTAGGCATCATCATATGTGATTTCATGATTAAGTCTCAGCAGAGTTTCTTTTCAGTATGACAAAGAACTTTACATTATCCATTAAAAGCCTGTTCTTAGAATGGGAAGAGTTTGACACATCAAATTACCTAGAGTTGACTATTTTATTTTCTGGTTAGAGGGAACAAACATAAGCTACTGAGGTGTGAGTCTTTTGAAATGTCTAAAATAATCACAGGTTTAATTCATCCCTGTAAGGAATACTTGTCAGTTCTATCTGTTTCAATGCACAAGAGTTCAGAAGAGCTACATTCACATGATGAAAGCCAACTTTCACATCATGAAGCCCATGGAAGAGTAAGGCAATGTTGAATATTGAACACTTCAGACATAGTCTGACAGGGCCAGATTTCTTGGTATGATTGTTGCTTTTAAGTACAACCCCATGAAAGAAATGGCATCCTTGTGCCCAGTAGAATCCTACCTAAACAAACAGGTTCATGTGGGAGAGTTATAACAGCTCCTAGCTCCTTTCCATCTACAACTCAGGTAACGGTTATGGCTGTGGAGAGAATAAAAACTGCCTGCCATTTCTGCTTCTATCCCCCTGCCAATGCACATTGCAGCCACTTACGGTCATGGACAAGGATTTGGTCTTCTCAGTCTATATTTATATCAGTTCCTTTGGGGCTGAAAAAGTATGGACATAGTCAAAACAGGGACTTAAAAAAGGTACCTCCTTACTCAATGAATCTGCTTCTCAGTTATGCTGTCAGAATGGCATAATTTCCTGATCAAAGTATGTTTACCAGAGACGTATTAGATCACAGACTTTGGATTTGCACTTTCCCAAAGCTCCAGGCTGTTCAGCTTAGGAGCTGCAGCTGAGGGCCACCTCTCAGCTAGGCAGTCTTAACCAAGCAGAGCCAATGCAGTTTATGGACATGGAATAGCAAGAATTTGCTTAACGCACAATCAAATGAAAAGTCAATGAATTATAAGTGGTAACTCTATTATTAATGATAATGGATATGCTAAACGAAACCTGGGTTGATTCTCAGATTCCATGATTTAGGTTTAAAGAGCTGGCAATAAGACAAGACACCTTATACTTGTCAGCTGCTCAGACTGAATCTAGTGGCTCTGTCTCACCACAGCCTGAATACTGTGACTTTTCAGACTGGAACTTCTGACAAGATGAACAGGCCTCCTTAACCATATAGTTAAAATGTACAGAGACATGATTGCTTCCCTGCATTAGTTTTAGAGTTAGAGATTTAATATGGAAAGACTTCTATTCCCTACTATTAGTAAGAGCTGGACAAATTTCTTAAGAGGTCTTACAGATGACAGGTGAGTCAGTGGGCACCTGCACTTACATTTACCTTGAGGACTATCAAGTATAAGTACTCTGAAGCTTGGTGCATTGTAGATGATAATTTGGTGCCCTCAGTTGGTTTTGTCTGGAACAGCTTACAAGTGATTGTATCTAATTCAGCAGAGACGCAGCAAAATGTGATTCTCTGAGTGGCACGGCAGTGCTAAGGAAGCTCCACTGGATCCAGAGAAAGGAGAATCTGGACATGTGTGAACACTCCCTAAGGTTTCTAGGGTACTGGAGATTAACTAAACCTTTCAATCCTATGAAGTATCCCAATTTGGTTTAGAATGAGAGTCAGGGTTTTCTTCTCTACAATCATTATCACAGAGATAAGGGAAAGACAGATAATATCACCAACTGGTGAAGTTGAAAAAAACAGATATATTTTTAGCCATGTAAGTTCTTGAAAACTCTATTCATTTTCTGGCCAATGCCAAATGTTCCACAAGAAATAATCACAGTATTAGTAATCAGAACATTGTCCTTGTAGACAGAGGTTCAGGTGCCTTCTCTTCCCTTTCTGGTCTGAACTTCACTATTTGCTTAAATTAATTTACAGAATCTAGGCTTTTTGTTGATTAAAAGCATATACCGTTGTGGAAGTCCTCTGACTCGGACAGTGTAAACTTGCAGCATGTTTAGAGTTTCTACCAGGTTTAATAATGTGGCAGAAAGAGTTCAAACTGTTCAGGCACCCAGCTCTGTAACTGGATAAATTTTGAGCATGAAGAAAGTGGTAGTTCAAGGATTTCTGTCCAGTTCTTGCAATACTAGAATGAGAATATGTCTATAATAATATCATGAAAGGTCTAGTAATTTATCTCCAGCCAGTTTTGAGGAATAGATTAAAATGTAATTGAAGATGTCATTGACAACCCATATTGAACAAGAGTCCTTTATCTCTCATTATAAGTGATAGATAACACAGTTCATGATGGTTGACTTTATCATTTTTTTAGAGGCCTGAAATTGCAGGACCATCTTCAAAGGCAGTTGACAATTTCTAGTATGAAAGAAGGGCAGACTTTGCACAGGTTTGGACTGGAGAACCTTGGAAGGGCAAGCTACTTCTTGTAGGTTTGATTCTTGGTTTTTGTCCCCATGCATAATTCCCATGTAATAATTAATGAGGGATCTGAAAACCATGAAGTTGAAATTATTGCAA